TCAGCTTTTGATATTTCAAGTAGTAATCATCACATTTCAATGAAACTTGGTACATAGTTACTTAAGGACTGTGCAAAGATCTGATTAGTTTTGGGGTAAATATTTGTGCATATTAATTATAAACTTGTTAGCATAATTAGTTAATTTTCAGCTTTTCGCCTGATATCTCAAGTACTAATCATCATATTTCAATGAGACTTGCTACACAGATCTTCTAGGACTATGCAGAAACCTGATTAGTTTTACGGTAAATAATTGTGGATATTAATTACCTAATTTGCATAATTAGTTAAATTTGTCCATGAATGTTCCACATATATATAAAGAACCACCAATTGGATTTTAATGAAACTTTTAAAGAGTACTCATCATCAAATTTCAATGAACCTAGGACTATGCAGAGACCTAATTAGTTTTTGGTAAATATTTATGCTTATTAATTTATGCTTATTAATCACCTAATTAACATATTAATTAACACTGATATTTCAATTACTGATCATCACATTTGAATAAAATTTGGTACATAAATGCTCTAGGATAATAGACAGACCTGATTAATTTTGGGTTGAAATTTGTTCATATTAATTCTCTAATAATAACATAGATATTCATTACGCAGGCCTTATTAGTTTTACACTCAAATCTGTTCATATTAGTTACCTGAATTACATAATTAGTTTTCAGCTTTTCCATCAATATCGCAAATATAAGTAATTTTTAATGTCTTCAATACTCTCAGCACGCGGGAGTTCATTCTAAGCTTTCTTTGATTTGGTTTATATTTAGACGGTCTACAATCTCTCAGATTTGGTCATTTTTTAGAAAAATTGTCAAAATTATGTTTGCAATATTTCGGGGGCATCAGGTGAGGACGTTAATAAACATTGTTTTTATATTCCAATAAATCATACCATATTGTCTTTATCAAAATGTAATTTCCAATTTTTTTTTTTCAAGGTTGAATTTTGCCACCATTAACAAAATAAACCCTCATTATTTGTTCCTAAATTTAGACACAAATGAGAATCAAGCCCTGCAACCAATCTGCAATTATGTCCACACGGTCAAAATAAAAAAAATGTACAAACATTTTGGCAGCAAAAATTTATAATGTTCAAAAAGTTAAAAAAAAGCTAAAAATACTCCACATTGCCAAATTAATAACAAGCAAAATGATATTTGTGCGTTGTTGAAAAATAATATTGGATAAAGACAATAGTTAATTTGTATCTTACTATGAGAAAACAAAACCTTTGTAACTTGTAGAGTAGTTTTAAAATATTATTTACAGAGTAATGTGTGACTCATTGGTCATTATCACATTATTCCTTCATGATGTATAGACAGACCACCACTCCCATAACATCAAAAGTTAGAGACTGGCAGCTCCACTCTTGTGCTTGCAGTGACACTTACGGTACCAGTAGAGTGGTCACCTTCTTTGGCAATATGAGACACACACCAGAAGGGCACAGTGAGAAAAAAAAATCAAAGACATTGTATTTTATGTATTTTAGTTTTCAGTGAAATAAACACAAGCAAATGACATATGGGAAAATGCATTCATGGGTTATTTTACAGAAGAAATATGATTTGAAATCAAGCAAAAGAATCATGGGTTTGCTATTAACCCAATCCGTCCATATATGGGACATTTTCATCAATTAGATTTCTGTTGAGATCTGGTTGCCATGGATGATTTGGGAGGGGGATTTTTCATTGATAACTTTAATGAATAGGAGCAATTTTCAAAAGATCAATCGATTAGATGCTGGGAAGGATCTGGATCTGGTTTCCATGGGAACAACAATTTTGGGAATGATTCCTTAGGATGGATGGCCCTTGAAACAAGGATCAAATGGTTAGTTTGACAGAGATATGAATCTCATTGTCATGGTAACAAGAATGTTTTCAATGATTATCTGCTGATAACTAAAAATTTAATATGAATTCTCATGATTGTTTTGGGGAAAGGTTGTCATTACATTAACAAATTGAATAGATTCTAAGTGGGATCTGTATCCAGTTGACATGGAGACAGACAGAAAGATTCTTCACCACTTTAGCAGATTGGGGGTTAGCACTCCTTGAGATCTTTCAAATTTATAAATGGAATATGTTTTTATTTACTTACTCTTACTGTTCGCTAATTCTTCATTAGAAGAATTCAATGACTTCAGAGATCCATAAGTTTTCAAATCTTGCTCCATTGTTACACAGCACACAAATATTTCAAAACAGCAACCACGATTATTCCTTCATTACATTGTACTTCTGAAAAATGTGAGAAAAATTATTTCTTATGAGAATGGTAAATCCTTGTTCAAAGATGGACAGAATGGTTTTCTTCAATCCTTCAAGAACCAACATGAATGAATTTCATTTATATTAATTAAATATAATTAACTTCTTTATGGGATGTAGTGTAGATGTAATTCTAACCATTTCAAATCAAGATTGATTACATCAGTTTCTGTATTCATCTAGACCTTGCATTACTTTTGCATTTGCACCATGTATTTATTGTGCAATGGTCGCACATGTATCAGTTTAGGGTTGCGCATTTATTGCAGTTGTGTCACCAACTGAATGACTGCTGACTGCCATCTCATCACGCTTGCATTACACATACCATATTTGCTCTATTACAAGCGCGTTTCCAGTAGAAGCGCATATAAACCAGATTGAATCATTAAAATATTACTTATTTTGACCATAGTAAAACAATAGTAATTTATTTCTGCACATGCACTAATAATAGTTCAAATAAAGCCTGTATCAGAAATTTTGACTATGGCAGTGCCCTACAGATCTAACCTTATATGCCGGGAACACTGAAACCTAACTTTTATAATTACCAGCCACATGTACTTGTACTTTGACCTGACCATATATATATAATACAAAGTGCACTGAAAGTATGTGATGAAAGCACGATAAAATAACAACATAAACGCTATAATTGCACCACACTAATGCGATAAATGCATGACTCTGTGCAACAGGTTGGACGAAAGCTGTACCATACGTAATGTTTTCTGGATTTATACAACAACATAGATTTACAGCTGATTTAATTATAATTGTTTTTTTCTGGACACCAAATGTTTATATACACATTTATAACACACGATACAGTGTTAACAAAATAATACAAAGAATTTCACGAAGGCATAAACTTATATATTTATGAATGTTTTATAAATTTAAAATGATAGTTAGCAAATCACAATGTGTTAACAAATGCATGGCAGGAAATTGGTCAATAAATTAAGAAAACGCGGGTAACATGCATTAACAAATGGCTTCTATAGTCAATGAAAGTATATATTTTGAATCTGAATGAAATGCAAGGGTATAATTTAATTAAACATAATATCTGATTACTGATTATCAAAGAATGGCGCCAAGAACGATAATAAACCTTAGTTAAAGGGCTGTTTGAAGTTGAGGTTCTAGTAAACAACCGAGACGCATATGGCCAAGGACGTATAACCGAGTCCCCAAGTCGTTAACCACAATTATAGTCAAAAATGCCAATCTCCAGGTATATATTGGTATTCGCTAGTCTTCGCAGAAAAATGTTTTATGATTTAAAAAACATTCATGTCTTTCTGAAATGCTTTATATATTTTTTGACTAACCATATTTATCATATATCATTAATTTCATTCATTCATTCATCATTCATTCATTCATTATTATTTAATGGCCTGTTATATTTTTGATGGATCTTTCTGAGTATTTATATGTTAATTTCAATAATTTTAAGGAAGAAGAATATAATATAATATAATATAATATAATATAATATAATATAATATAATATAATATAATATAATATA